TTGAAGCCTCGCCCTTCCTACTGGGGAGAGACTGAGGCCAAAGAGTGGCGGAGAAAGCTACGAGAGGAGCGTGAGGCGGTCGCCAGGGAACTAGAACGTAAACGTCAATGGCATATCGCCGAGTTGAAGAAGCGGGGGGGTTACCCGGTCCTTGGGGATTCGAAGGAGGAGAGGGATCCGCCTGGGACAGCTGGAGTGGGGATGAGGAGACCTTACCCTTGATTTCCCTGGAAGAAGAATTGAACCCTGGACTAGGACCTGTGCCGCCTTCAACAGGTCCTTGGAACCCAGAGAACACCAATCCCTTTGTACATAGTTTGTGGACTCCTTCCAAGCCTAATCTTGGTCTCCAAAACTCCTTGAATCCTTTCATGGGTGTAGTTACCGATGATGTTAATGTTGAAATAAATACAATCCCGTTTGATGTTCCTTCTGTGCCTCGTCAGTTTATTGAAGAAAAGACAACCCACACCACCGAACCCTCACAAATGTTTTTTACAAGTCTACAAAAAGTGAAATAACATTACTTCTTATCTGTAAATAATCCCAAACATCAAATGCTACAGCAATTGCTAAATCTTGTCCCCATTTTTTACATGTATTTAACTATTTCTTCCTCCTAATGAAAACCATAAGAAATAAATAACATTATATTTTCAGTCTATTTGAATGTCCAGAACTGATAATCATTTCCCCCTATCAGCTCATGGAGCTGGCAAAAAAAAGTTGTGGAAGGTTTATCATCCCTCAGGTTCACCCTTTGGAATGAATAGGGATTGCAGTGGATAATAGATATTGATGAGCTAGCTGAATTCAGCATTGAATCTTCTCCTAAATATTTGTCCTTACTAGATTTTCTACATTTCAAAGTCCCAGAAACTGGCATTACTATTAACATTTAAATCTTATATTACTGTTGCTATGCAAGTTTTACAAGGTCTAAGTTTCTACAGTACAGTGGTGCCTCGCATAGCGAGGTTAATCCGTTCCGGATTAACCTTCACTATGCTGAAGCATCGTTGAACGGGGCAGGGATTTCAATTGGAACGCATTAAACATGGTTTAATGCATTCCAAATGAGCCAAATACTCACCGTTCAACGAAGCTTTGTAATGGCCGGCAGCCATTTTCGCACCCTCGCCTCGCTTAACGAGGGCGCGAAAACGCTGCGCGCGGCCATTTTGGGCCATTTCCGGGCTTCCCGATCATCGGGGCTTCGTTTTGCGAAGATCGGTAAGCGAAACGCTTACTGGTCTTCGCAAAGCGAATTGTGCCCCATAAGAAAAACGTTAAGCGATCGCATTAGCGATCCAAAAAAACGGATCGCTATGCGATTTCGTCGTTATGTGGTGCACTCGTTAAGCGAGGCACCACTGTATTAGCAACTGGAAGTAAGGTACAATTTAGCACTTAAAATTGGAAACTGAAACAGAATGCAGTACTTGAATGTAGATTTCTTGAGTCATGTGTTAAATGAGATAACTCCACTCTTTGCACCTGTGAGGAAAATCTTGAGGTTTTAAATAAGAAGCAAACTTCACATTCCTAGAAAATGGTCACAATATAGTGAAGAAATCTGATGCTGACAATGTCGGATTTGGAGCTGTTTCATTCTCTTTCTTGCCTACAGGTTACCCTCTGGCACGCTATAAATTACTATGAGTCTGCTACATAGTAACACCAGCTTTGGAACCAGTGATCAAGAGAGTGACTGCTGTGCAGCCATGGCAAGCGCCTGCAGTGCTGTGACCAAAGAAGAGAGTCTTCAGGCCAGTGTCAGCAATGGCACAAGTGGAACACTTTCAAACTCTTTCATGGAGGAGATACAGGGCTACGATGTAGAGTTTGACCCACCATTGGAAAGTAAATATGAATGTCCCATCTGTTTAATGGCTCTGAGAGAAGCAGTACAAACACAATGCGGACACCGTTTCTGCAAAGCTTGCATTGTAAAATCCATAAGGTAACTAGAGGGGTTCTGGGGAATGTTATTAAGGGTGGTACAGTTCTGGTAGTAACAATGACAGTGAAATGAAACTGAGGATGAATTATAGTTCTGAGCTGTTGCAATGGTGGAAGAGTATCAAAAGCCAGTAAGTTCATTATTATATGTGCTTGCTATTACTGAACAGAGTTTGTAAGCCATATTGAGTGGTTGTTCATAATATATATTAGACATTGCAACAAATAATAATTCAAAGTGCTTATTTTGACGTATAAAGCCCTAAACGGCTTGGGCCCTGGATATTTGAAGGACCGCCTCCTTCCATATGAGCCTACCCGGCAGTTAAGATCTAGCCAGGGGGCCCTTTTGAAAGAGCCATCCCTCAAGGAGGTAAGAGGGGTGGCTTGTAGACAAAGGGCCTTCTCGGCAGCTGCCCCCAGACTATGGAACGCCCTCCCGACTGAAATTTGTTTGGCATCGATGTTGATGACATTTTGGCGCCAGGTCAAAACTTTCCTGTTCCAGAAGGCTTTTAATTGAAATAACACCAACTGTGGGTCTTGATGATGGCAATTTTAATTGTATTTTAATCGTATTTTAATTGTATTTTAATCATTTTATATTTTATTGTATTGAATTTTATGTATTTGCTATAGATGCTACGACTATAAATTTTCCTTGTAAACTTCTCATATGCAAAGCTAAAATATCTGGCTATGATTCAGAACTATGCTGATTCTATGCTAATATGTGAATACTAGACAGATCAGCTTAACTTTTTATTTTCTGTTGTGTTCTCTTAAGTGCTTCAGCTTTTGTCTCAAATTGTCTTTGCACCAAGTTCTTTTTGAAACTTTTATGGAACTTTTGTCTTTTTGCCTTTTCACCATCTTTAATAATATATATTATTAAATTATCTGATATTTTTTGTCTGTGTTGTGGCAGTTCTACTTTACAAGGTGGTCATAGTAATTCTAACTGCATAGCTTTGTGGATCTTTGAACTCCCTGAAAGCTGTGCTGAGTCAGGGTAGATCAGAGTGTGGCGAAGCACAGTCATCACCACATTTGGCATTCCTGGACTCACCCACGCCAGGATAAATATGATAGTGTGCCTGAGTTGCTAATATAGAACTCCTTGAGCCTGGTAAACATCTCAACTTAACTTTTTTCCCCTATCTTGAAATCCTTTACAGTACAGTATTATGTCCTAGTGATTTGATCATTCTTGTCTCAGCATTAGAGGCCATTCATCCCAAAAGAGTAGTTTTATGAGTTTTTCAATAAAAATTTTTAAATCCTCTCAGGAATCTTGCCTGTAGGCAACAGAACAACACACTGGCTGCAAGTGCTGCTTCTCCCAGAATAATAGTAATGTTATAATGAAGCAGAAGTAGAACGGAATAGACCTCTCCAGAGTAAAAGGGAGCCTTAGGGAGCCATGGAACTTAAAGGGGCAAGGGGAGGAAGCTTTCCATTAGAAAAGCACAGGAAGCAGCACCAGATGATGTCATCCATCATGTGTAAACTTGCACAAGAGGATTTTGCCCATAGTGTTCAGTAAATAAAATATTTTCAAGATTCTTTCATAGGTTAGTCTATAAGGGCGCAAGCAACTCTCGAGTAGACGTAGCCACCCCGAGTAGACGTTGTCTAGGGGGGCAGGGTAAAAATTGAATAAATAAATAAATAAAATAAACTCCCATTAACTTGTGTGTGCTTCACTCACACTCACTTGGCTTCAGCTTTTAACTTGCATATGAAAAAGCTAGACCCTGCCTCTGAACTAAATTGTATACTGTTGTACTTCAAGTTTAGACTTGATCTGACTTCATTTGGTCCCAGATCCAAAATGAAATTCAGAAGTTTTAATCTTCATATCTCCCATTGACTTTCACTGGGAAACTAAACAGCCATAACATATTTTTGGTTTTAAACACAAGCACGTAAAATTTGGAGACCTCTTAGCCCCCTTAGTGCAGTCACATTTCTTACAGACAAGTAGATGAGCGGCGGGGGGGGGGGGCCAGCCACATTTAACTTTCAGTTTAGTATATGTAAAGTTTGTGACACTTGGAAGCATGTGTTGGCTCTTAGTCCCACACTAGTGTCTGTGATGTGTGTGTGCTGCTTATGCTCTAAAGCTTGGTACAGACAGGCCCAAGTAGATTGAAACAGAAATGAAGTCTAACCCAAAGCAAAAAGGAAAAATGAAACTGGTATGGGAGAGACTAGGAAAGAATGATTGAAAATTGGATAGTATTAGAGTGAAGCAAGGGGTGCCCTGTACAAATAAAAATGCTTTTCTAATCACACAGGAGAGAGTCAGTGTAGCAAAGGAAACTGAGACTGAGAAGGCCGAGGTTCAAGTTCCTGCTCAACCATGGAAACTCACTGGGGAGCAGCAATAGTAAACTTCCCTGAAGTATCTGATATCCTTTGGAGAACCTACTAGAGTCACCATCAATCAGAATTGACTTGATGGCACATAACAATGTCAGTGGTCATGCAAGACAATTTTGGATTTAAGTTAGTATGTCTGCCTAGTGATAAAAAAAGCTTGTAATGATTTAAGAGTATGATAAATGCAGATGTGTAATTAGCTAAAATATGCTTTTTCCCCTTTTGAACAGAGATGCTGGTCATAAATGTCCAATAGACAATGAAATTTTACTAGAAAATCAACTTTTTCCTGACAACTTTGCAAAACGGGAGATCCTCTCATTGACAGTGAAATGTCCTAATAAAGGCTGTAATCAGAAGATGGAACTAAGGCATTTGGAGGTAGTCACTTAAAGGAATGAAAATATTTTGTGATTTCTGTCCAGTTCTTTGCTATTCTGAGCTGCATTACCAAAGTATAGGAGGCATTTCTGGGAGCCCTTTCCATCACATCTGACATAAAGATACTGTATGTCTTACATCCACTGTTTGCTTTTGGGACCGTGTTTACAGTCAGTGCTTGAGGAAGCCCTCCAAGATACTTTAGGAAGGAATGGATTCTGTGAGGGGATGGTGTTCATGGGCGTTTATCAGGCACTGTGGACCACTGGATGAAATTACATTGGATGAAATTACATCTTCCTAAACCACTAAATAGAATATGAGACACTTCTAAAGACTTCTCTTTCATATTGCATATGGCATAGTTTAGGAACTCTATACAATCCTTTGTTTCTTTTGAAGCAGCTAAGCCTGTTTGCTGCATATTATTTTTATTGATGATTTTGTAAAGTTTGTTAAAATGAAACCAATGGATTAGTGGTACACTCCAAATATGACAGTATTCCTAAACCACTGGGAAAAAAGAGTGTGAAATGTGCACATTGGCCATCTGTTGTATATACTAAGAAATTGTGGTTTCCTGCTATCTGTATTGAAGTGCTTTCCGGAGGAAGAAATCAATGACATTTGAGGTGGCCCTTGATTTATAAGACAGTAATGGCTAAATCCTGAACACATGACGTTCAAAATAATACCTTCCTGTACACATGTTTTTCCCCCATAATATCCTAAAAAAACAGTTTGTTGCATATAGCAAAGCAGCAAATCGTATACCCAGATTCTAAGACATGGTGCATCACAGAAAATACCCTCTCTGTAGATAGAAAACACAGTAATTATTTTTTAAAAACAATTAACAACTTGATATCCTTTCATGACACTCCAGATCCACTGCCTGAGGAGTGCTCTGCTTGTGATAGACCTGAATCTGCAAAATTCCATGAATGATGCTTTAGAGTCTAGTGCAGCAAGTCAACTTCTTTATGATGTATAAAGGGAAGGTGGAGAAGACTGCTTCCAGATCCATTCACTGTAAAGTGATTGTTATCCTCAGAGGTGACTAACCCAGGGATTGTTAATGAGTCCACAGAGTAAATTATTGGGTTAACCCCATTGCTAGATTTCTAAGACAGAAGAAACACTACATGTTAGCAAAGCAATCAAGATGCTTATATCAGATTGGCTACTCTTGACTTCATTGTGTACTTTAGGTTTATGTGTGGAAGGGGTAATCAAGACTTTGCCTTATTTTTGTGTTTTATGCTAATTTCTATTCTTGTCTAGGATCATCAGTCACACTGCGGTTTTGCTTCTGAAAAGTGTCCCCAGTGCCAAGGCACTTTCCCTAAAAATCAGCTGCAAGAACACATGAAACTAGAATGCTCACGGCGTAGGATTGCCTGTCCAAATTGTGCATTGTCTATGCCTTATGAAGAAAAAAAGGTATGTTTATAACATACAACTCTGTTTCATAAACTGTCAAGTAAATTGTATTTATATTGCTAGTGAAGCACTGATAATTTTTAACAATTTAATAAAATTTGCTTTCTGTATTGTCCAGTAAGATGTAGTTGTATTGTTCACAGGGAATCTTGCAAGTCCCAGACTGCAATGGGACACTTTTCTTCCCAAGAGAAGTGGTAGATACCTACTGCTCACTGGTTATTTGTGTTTTCTATGGTGGAAAAAGAGACTGGGGGAGGGGTCACATTCTAGTTGTCAGCACAAATAACAGTCAAATGAATTCTAATGTATTTTGCACTTTTGCTGTAATGTAGATTCATGATGAGATGTGCCTTTTGGCAACTGTCTCCTGCGAATACTGTAATACAATGCTAATCAGAGAACAGGTAAAATTATCTTTCCTTTTTTTACTTGCCTTTTTCCAGAGCCCTAGTCTGTTATCAGTGTGCATTTGTCATTCCTGTATGTGTTGTTTTCAAAAGTGCCGTCAGAAAACGGGGGTAGATAGGATGTTTTCATAGTTCTAGTAATGGAAGTTTCCCTTATGTAGGAGGTTGGTCAAACCTATCAGCATGATTAGTATGAGTTTGTGTGTGTGTATGCATGTGTACGTGCAGGTTGGTCAAACCTATCAGCATTCTAATTTGACTAATATGAGTTTGTGTGTGTGTATGCATGTGTACGTGCTGTAGTACATAACTTGGGAGCAGGGTATTTGAAGGACTGCCTTTTCCTGCCATCATCCCCACCATCTGAGCTGGTAATCACAGAATGGGTATTTGAAGGACTGCCTTTTCCTGCATAAACCTACTTAGGCATTGAAATTCATCAAGGAATACTACTATAGGATGATCAAGGCAGAATGTCCCCACCATCTGAGCTGGTAATCACAGAAAGGGCTTTTTTAAATTGTTATGTCTACCCTGGAATAACATCTGCAGTAGCGTCATCTGATGTAGTGATATGAAATGTTTTTGCAAAATTACTTGACCTGTCAACACACCATATTGGTGAAAATTGAGCCTGAGTGATGACTCACCTTACGTAGGGTAGCATTAAAAAGGTCTAGTTAAATCATTCAGGTAATAAATCCTACCTTTATATATTGCTACAGTAAGATAGTGCCTTAAAAAGGTTGCTTAACCTGTTATCCCAAATAATGTTAACTGCCATAGTGGTTTTTACTGCTTTTCCCTGTATTTGTTGTGTTTACCTTGTACTGATACATTAGGCTTTCTTTATGTTGTATCATAGCTGATTTAGGAGTATAAACATTTCTAATTTTATGTACTGTTTAAACAAGTAAATAAAAGAGAACACTGTGCAAGAATGAAAATATTAAGAAAGTTTGCCCTATGGAAAAGGCTGCTATAAATTTACAAAACAAATAATCTGATTTTATAATGAGACTGCTATGCTTAGTATATTGTTATTTTTAATTAATTCATTTTGCTAATGGTGGGATTTTTACAGCATGCTGTAGTCTGTTCTGCTGAGAAATAAGTCCTTGGTGAGTGTTAGTCTCAAGAAAGTGAATGGCAGCTTTAAAGACCTTTTGATTTGGTTTGTTTGATTGCCTTAGAAACTTCAAGTGAAAGGCAGTATCAAAATCTGAAAGACAGTTAAAAAAATAAGTAAAAGATCATACAGAATCTGTGATAAATTAGCAATGGCTTTCTCAAAATAGTTATACTCCAAAATAATATTGTTAATTTATAATTAGATAATATGTGTGGTACAAGTGGTGAAAAGTATGAGCTACTGATGATTAATTTTTAAATGTGTTACTATCTGCACTTGAATCTGGAAATAGCAATGTGTAAGCTGCCAATTCTTATTTTCTCTAGCTACCTAATCACTATGATAATGACTGCCCAACTGCTCCTGTGCCGTGCACATACAGTACCTTTGGATGCCCAGAGAAAGTAAGTTACAGCAACTTTGTATACTTGCCTAATGAGAAGTTCACCCCATTGATTTCAGTAGTTAATGGATATAGGATTGCACCCTTAAAGTTTTTATCTGCAAAACATTTTTATTTGATTAAAACCAGTGCCCTTTTTATTACCAATGTGATCACACCAGACCTATCTTGTTCAGCATTCTCTTCCTAGAAAAGACTTAAGTTCGAGATAGGACATCCTGCCTGCTCCAGTCCCTGTACGTACTGCAGCCATATCCTGTAGTTTTCAAAAATGTCCTCTAACAAATTCGGTAACAGCTTCCTAAGAGTATAATGGACTCATTTAGATGAAGGGGATAAGTGAAAATCAGATTGTGCAAATGGATTTCCATTAAGGCAAAGCTGCCATTGAATGTAACTCTCTCTTTCCCATTTTGGAAGATATAATGAAAATTAATGAAGTATTTTCGTGGTTTGTTCACCAGTGTGCAAGAGGTACACACCTGCTTGTATCAAAAGAAGAGCAGCCCACTTATTTCAGCTATTTATGGTCATCTAATCAATTCTTTATTATGTTTGTTTGCTTGTTTGTTTTAACTGAAAATAAAGATGAGTTGGTTTGAGAAATCTATTTTAATTCTTGTTTTTGCCAGTGAATAAATATTGGTTAGGTCACTGGCTTTTATTTACTGCTATTTTTTATTCCTAGCAATTAGAGCTAGTTTTTCACGTGAATTCCCTATAAGCCAATATGGTTGTTTTTCACCTATTTCTGTTAAAATAATTGATTAGAGATAAAATTAAACTGTGCTGTTCTAGAGAGCTTCCAGTTTTGGCCTCAGCTTTTCATTTAGATCAGACTGTCTTTTCATGTTGACATAGTTCTACAGAAAAGATTTAAAATAACGTTGTAAGGGCACATTGAAACTATGGTATCTTTGACAAGATTCTAGTTACTAATGAACAGAACACAATCTTCTGTTTAGGTATAATTATTTTTATCATTATCATGAGAAGAATACATCTCTTTTGACAAACATGTGGGCTCACATTCAAATACCTGAGGCTGGTTCACCAGTACTCATAGCTGTGTGTATATATTTTTCAACATACAGATAAACTTCCAACTTGCTGTTTTCTGTGTCTCTGGTGTTAGGTGACAGTTGGAAGAGTTGCTCCAAATGAACATTGATGCTACAGTTAGAAAACCTTTGTTAGAGTGTGGTTTGTTTTGTTTTGTTTTTTAACAGTGGATAAAAGGCCAACTGGCCATGGCTCTTTTCTCAGGTATGGAATAAAATCTATGGCTAGTGAGTCTCTTCGTAGTTACTAGTCACTGGGAGATGCTGCTTGAATATTCTTTCCCTACCGGATTAATGTGGTGTATGAACAATAGTCGCATTCCTCCTTGATGTATGCCAGCAAACAATATAGTTTTGTAACTGTGGAAATAGATTGAGTAGTTTGTTTTATTATGCAAGTTAATTCTTTTTTCTTAAAATCTTGTTTCTGCAACTTTTTTCAGGTTCTTCTTTACTGTAATTACTCTTTCATATGGGATCCTATAAACTTGTGTGAGGCTGTTTTGCATACAGCAGCTCATACGGGATGAGAGTAAACATATATACATTAAAATAACATGACTGAAGGAAGAGAAAGAAGCCTTTTTTCCCATCATTCACAAAATATACATGTTTTAAAACATGCATGTTTTACTATCTGCTTTTACAACCACGAGTACTAGAAAGCTGTTTTCAATGAGTGAAAGCCTAGTATCATCTAAATTCCAGATTTTCAGAAGAAAAGGCCTTATACCAAAAGCTTGCTGCATGAATTCAACAAATTGAAGAGTGGTATTACCATTAAATTTTCTGAATATCTGTAAATGATTCATTGATTCTCAGATGATGTTTATGATAATAATATAGGGATTTTTTCCCCAAGACTTAAACTGTTTCCCATTAAAAACATTTTAAGCTACTGCCCCACATCTGTAATAAGTAACAATTTTTTAGTTTTTCAGTTTTTGTTTCAGTAGATCACTGAAAATCACTGAAAAGTAAAGCCAGTTCTCCTTTTTCATATAGAATTTTCTCCTCTGTTACAACCTTGCGGTTTATTTTAGTCACAAGAATTTGTTTCTAAATTTATTACTATTTTTTATTTAATTGCAGATGCAGAGAAATGAGTTGGCAAAGCACATGCAAGAATTCACTCAGGTTCATATGAGACTGATGGCTCAGGCCCTCCAGGGCATCACTGTTAACCTCCCACCTTCCATGAATTTTCACCATGGAGGTTTACCGTTTGACCCATCCCTTTTCTCTCAAGGCTTGCCACCCTCATGTGAATGTAGCCCTGAAGTCCAGAACTTCAAGGAAACCATTCAGCAACTGGAAGGTCGTTTAGTAAGACAGGATCACCAAATCCGAGAACTCATTGCAAAGATGGAGACACAAAACAGCCAAATAGGAGATCTCAAACGCACCATTCAAAGTCTAGAGGGCAAAATTGCTGAAATGGAAGCACACCAGTGTAATGGTATTTTTATATGGAAAATAGAGAATTTCAGTATTTATCTCAAAGCCCAAGAAGAGGAAAGGCCTGTTGTGATCCACAGCCCTGGTTTCTATACAGGGAAACCTGGCTACAAACTTTGTATGCGTCTGCATATCCAGGTACCAAATGCTCAGCGTTGTGCCAACTATATTTCCCTTTTTGTTCATATTATGCAAGGGGACTATGACAGCCATCTGCCATGGCCATTCCAGGGGACCATACGACTTTCTATTCTAGATCAGTCAGATGGACCTTCAAGGCAGAACCATGAAGAAATAATGGATACCAAGCCTGAACTGCAAGCCTTCAAGCGTTCAACAGTCCCCCGCAACCCAAAAGGTTTTGGATATGTGACTTTCATGCAGTTGCAAGCACTAAAACAGAGAACATATATAAAAGATGATACTCTCCTAGTGCGCTGTGAGGTTTTAACACGCTTGGACTTAACCAGTCTACGAAGGGAAGGTTTTCAGCCTCGTAGCACAGATGGGACGCCATAGTCCCATCATGCCTTCAGTCTTGATCTGTTACTGTTATTTGTAAGAACTACGAAAGAATAAAAGGATTGATTAGAATAATCTGCACCTTGTTCGTCTTAAGTATGCTGTATTTATCACCTTTAGTGATAACAGAAAATTCTGCAAATGTTATCCCTGTCTCAGTGTATTATTGAAAATATAATTTTAATTAGATGCTGGAAACAAATGGAATTTTTCCTTTTATGGATACTGAATGTTGGATCTTAGCCAACTCTTGACAGACTTGTACTTATTTACAATGTCTTCAGGGTTCAAATGTATGTATTTCGCTCTTACAGTTCTTAGTAGATGACCATCCACAACCACAAAATAAATTAATTTGAGTAGGGTTGAGGGTATTGTATTTGAGCCATCTCGGCCTTAAGGATGAATTATGTAATGTAAAAAAGCCCTTGTCCTGTTCATAATTCTGGACTATGTCCAGTGATCAGCATAGGTGCTGGACCAGTGCATAATCATCAGTGCAAACAAGCCTGAACATCCTATCAAATCTCTGCTCTTTTGTAAAGACAGCTGTGATAAAGATTAGTAGGTGCTGACATGATAGTAAGTAAATCTCATGCAAGTATCTCCTCAAAGAAATTGTAAGATAATGGAGTGATAGCAGTTTGGCTTGGGTGGGACAAAAGGAATGGGTATATTCCATATTACACTAAAGAGGAAGCCCAACAAAGTCAGCAGTATTGGAGATACCACCCAGACAGCCAAAGCCCTCACCTGCGCTACAGGTGGATACATAGGAGTACATTGTAATGGTAACTTAGATCTTCAACATTCTGGTATATCATTCAGTTCTTTATAGTACTTTTTAATGAAACATGCTCTGATACCTTTTCTTCTTTTACCTGAAAGTCAAACTGCTATTACTCCATTACCTCTCAGTAGATTTGCTAAGCATCTGTAGCAAAACCACTCATACATCTTGATGACATTGCCTTAGAGAAAAACTGAAGATTATATAGTTTGATTAGAGTAAAAGAACTAACTCAAGTTGGCCCAAGTAGTTGGTGGTGAAATAAGGCATTCTTCAGCACAGTAAGAGCAGAGACTTAAATCAGTGAAAGCTTATGATAGCCCACACATAACTGGGAATTCCTTGTTTATGGAGAGTAATTGTAATCCCCAATATTCATCACAGATGAGGTTTATTCGATTACTTCTACCTATTGGCGCAGGATAGATACACAATGAGCCAGTCAGCGTAGGCCGTGTGCAAGAACATCTGATGGCATCACAGACCTACTGTTACTCAGTCTCAGGTGACTGAATGCTACTTGTCCCTTCACTTCTAAATTGTATGTGTAAAACAAGTGAAACAAGTGAGATCACATTGTTGGCAACAAGAATTTGTGCTATCAAGTCCTGTAAGGCTTTTCATCTGCCACTTTATGTGGAGGATTGGTAGTAGAGGTGTTTATTTGGGAACAAGTTGTTCTCCTGACACATTGTTTGCCTCTGCTAGTTATTCTCATTATTTCTAAGAGCCCACTGTCTGGTGAGAGTTTAAAATACAATAGGATGAATTATGTAATGTAAAAAAGCCCTTGTCCTGTTCATAATTCTGGACTATGTCCAGTGACCAGCATAGGTGCTGGACCAGTGCATTATCATCAGTGCAAACAAGCCTTTGGTTAGGTATCCACTTACATTGTAGTAAGTCTCAGCATAGGTGCTGGACCAGTGCATAATCATCAGTGCAAACAAGCCTGAACATCCTATCAAATCTCTGCTCTTTTGTAAAGACAGCTGTGATAAAGATTAGTAGGTGCTGACATGATAGTAAGTAAATCTCATGCAAGTATCTCCTCAAAGAAATTGTAAGATAATGGAGTGATAGCAGTTTGGCTTGGGTGGGACAAAAGGAATGGGTATATTCCATATTACACTAAAGAGGAAGCCCAACAAAGTCAGCAGTATTGGAGATACCACCCAGACAGCCAAAGCCCTCACCTGCGCTACAGGTGGATACATAGGAGTACATTGTAATGGTAACTTAGATCTTCAACATTCTGGTATATCATTCAGTTCTTTATAGTACTTTTTAATGAAACATGCTCTGATACCTTTTCTTCTTTTACCTGAAAGTCAAACTGCTATTACTCCATTACCTCTCAGTAGATTTGCTAAGCATCTGTAGCAAAACCACTCATACATCTTGATGACATTGCCTTAGAGAAAAACTGAAGATTATATAGTTTGATTAGAGTAAAAGAACTAACTCAAGTTGGCCCAAGTAGTTGGTGGTGAAATAAGGCATTCTTCAGCACAGTAAGAGCAGAGACTTAAATCAGTGAAAGCTTATGATAGCCCACACATAACTGGGAATTCCTTGTTTATGGAGAGTAATTGTAATCCCCAATATTCATCACAGATGAGGTTTATTCGATTACTTCTACCTATTGGCGCAGGATAGATACACAATGAGCCAGTCAGCGTAGGCCGTGTGCAAGAACATCTGATGGCATCACAGACCTACTGTTACTCAGTCTCAGGTGACTGAATGCTACTTGTCCCTTCACTTCTAAATTGTATGTGTAAAACAAGTGAAACAAGTGAGATCACATTGTTGGCAACAAGAATTTGTGCTATCAAGTCCTGTAAGGCTTTTCATCTGCCACTTTATGTGGAGGATTGGTAGTAGAGGTGTTTATTTGGGAACAAGTTGTTCTCCTGACACATTGTTTGCCTCTGCTAGTTATTCTCATTATTTCTAAGAGCCCACTGTCTGGTGAGAGTTTATATATTTGTGAGAGTTTATGTGTTACACACTTCTTGCTTTTTTCTTATGGAAAGGATTAATGTTAATTATCATCCACAAACAGTGTAAAATCTTTTCAAAAGCTTAAACCTTTAGTTAGGTATCCACTTACATTGTAGTAAGTCTCATTCAGTTTAGTGAGATTTATATCTCAATATGCATATATGGAATGACATTAAGCATGTCTTTGTAAGCTAAGATGGAAATGGCAGTGCTCTAAAACATTTTTATATGTAAACATTGTTCATATGATTATCTGCTGATATGATTTACTGCTGCTCAATTAGTTTTTTATTTCTATATTGCTTATCTAACTGAAAGGGCAGCCAAGTTCCTTTTCGCTTTATTGTCTGTTTCTCTAAGCCTTTCATTTTGGATAACAAATGATTGCTGAGGAAATTAAACTTTAAGGAATAATAATTTCCCATTTAATGAATTTATAGCAAAACAGAGTCGAGTCCTGTTGCAGAGTCTGACGGTTTCAGTTGTTGTTTCAGGTTCCTGAGTAGAGATGGGCAGAAACCGCCAGTTTAGACTAACCGCCAGTCTCCTCTACCAGAGACACTAATAAACTCAAGAATGAGCACAAACCAATGGTTGAGCAGCTTGTGCCAGTTCATCCTTTCAATGAACAAAGTGTTCAGTGCTTCCCAGACCCACCTCCAACGAGCATCCACTCAGAGGCAGTGCCTGGAGGAGGCGGGGCAGGGAAGGCAAGGTGCTGCTTCCGAGTGGCAGGGCTGAGAAGCACTCGACCCCTTATTTGTCTTTCAGCCAAACTGCTGAACCAGCGGTCCATGCCTATCTCTGTTCTTGAGCTTATTAGTCCTTCTAATAGAAGAACTAAAATTTTTTGATCTAATTATTGTTTCTAGGCAACAGAAAAGCTTTAGTGTTTAGTATGCTAAACATCTGTTGAATTCCCAAAATCCCATTCCATACATTATACCTGCATAAGGGTGATAACATCACCATCCGGGGAGATTTTCAGTAATTAAAGAGTTCCTGCTTGTTTTCCAAAGCTCCCTAGATTTACACTCAAATCAGTCTTATTGTGTGCAGGCTCTGGGACAGAAGCAGGAATGCTTACATTACTGAAAATCTCCCCCAGCTGGTGATGTCATCCTTATGCAGGCATAATTAATGGGACAGAATTTTTGCAACTGAGTTTAGCGCAACTGAGGGTGTATAGGGCTGCAATCTGAGCTTAAATTTAAAAGGTTATAGTACACTGCACAGCTTTATATGAGGGATATTTTAAAATGACTTGTTTGCACTGACATCTCTTCTTTTATCATGTTTATCTTAACATCTTGGTACTTATTTTCAGTTTTTTCAGTCTTTTGCTCTGCTCCTGGCTTTTTACCCTACCTTTGTCCTCCTCAAATGTGTGGGCATCTTTCTGGATATTGGAGCTCACTGAAGGCTGTATCCTCCCAGTGCTTGGAGTGTTTTCCATAGCCATTAAAAATGGGAAATTCAGTAGATTACCTTGTGTGTGAAGGGCAAGTGCCATGTTCATCATCAGAATTACACCAAGTTTTGCAGCAACATAGATACAATGAGGAGACAAAAAAAGGTTGCTGGGAAGGCAGGATATGGCCCTCATAAGCCCCCTCCTAGAATTGTGCCACCCTCATTGCGATTATTTGCATCTAACTGTAGTTCATGACTGCCATCTTCAACTTGCACTCCCCCTTCCCTGATGGTGCATTGTGTTTAGAATGCTATTGGATCAGATAGTAATACAGTATAGACCCTTTCGTTCAAAGACTTTGGTTTTCCCTCATCCAGTTTGTTTTCTACAACAAGGTTGTATCAACTAAGTTCCATGAAGACTGTTCTACAATGATGATTGTGGTCAGTGAAATACATCCAGAGTTGTGCTTACAAGATATAGCAAAGAGGGCGGAAGTGAGAGTATGTTTGACTGTAACCCACAATGCTGCATATGCTTATAGTGTTTTTTGTGGCATGCGTTCATTAAATTGTTTTGCCATATTCTGATAGGCCAAAATACCTGTACAGTGTTTTCTGCAGCTGCAGGTATTGCAAGATAGCAACTTTGATGCTTACCTGTGTTTGGAACATCTATTGGAAAACTATTTCCTGTCTTTGTGAACTGAAGCACATAAAAATGTAATTTCCTTACTTGCTAAGATTGCTACCTCCTGCATTTTGGGATATAAGATTTGAAATGAAATGTTCTATTTTTCATAGGTTTTAAAAATTACTGTTACATTGTTAAATACTGGAGCAGCACACAGAAGTGCCTTTTTAATGTAAGTTATGACCCCTCTTCGTCATAAGTGTACTCATGCTCTGATATAATGCTGCAACTTAGAGTCACTAG